TTCTTGGGGTCCGAGGCCACCACTGTTCTCTGCTGGGCCAGTCACAGTTGGCCTGCACCTCCAGAATGCCCTCTACACAGCCCTCCTGAAAGCAGAGGAGGACCTGGATGAAGCTACTTTCCAGACACTTCTCCAAGGCCTAAGACCAGTGAGCAAAGCCAGGTGAACACCACCGTGTGGCCCTAGTTGAGCTGACGGGAGCACAAGCGAGTTGCCTTGCCTAACTTCCTGACCTGTATGATTGTGAGAAATAATAAAACGTGTTGGGCCTGGTGGCAAATGCCTGCAATCCCAGCACTTGGGGGGCTAAGGCAGGAGGTTTGCCATAGTTCAAGGGCAGTCTGGTTTACATAGGGAGACTATTTCAAAAAACAAACATACATACAAATCCATGTGGGAATGCAGCGCTTCTCTTGGCCTTCTGTCTTCACTGGTGCACACGTAACATGGCTGTGGCCTGTGAACCCATGCTTTAGAAACTACAGACTTGCTGTGGACGGGGCTGTTTATTGCCAGGCAGTCAGCAGCCAGGTGGCCTGGGTGCACCACTGCAGGGTGGCTCTCTTCTTAGCCCGCACCTCCATGATGCCCTCCATGGAGTCAAGGGTCAGCTCTGCGGCGCCCTGCACTGAGCCATCTCCCTGGCACCCCCTTTTTTAAATGAAATGGTTTTGGAGGCTGGGGAGATAGTTCAGTAGAATAAGCTCTTGCCTGGCAAGCGCAGAGTCCTAAGATCAATCCCCAGTACCGCAAACAACGACAAAATGAAAGAAATGGTTTTGGTCTAGGGAAGAAAAGAGCCTCCAAGTAGTTGGTTGTCTTTTTTGTTGTTGGTTAGAATTTATACTCTATATTTTCTAACAGATGGTTAAAAGAATCAGCTTTTCTTCCTTCATCTGACTTTTTTGGTGCTGGGGATTCAACCCACGGCCTTCTACTCCCATAAACCAGGCAAATGTCCCCCACTGAACTATAACCCAGATTTTAATATTTGGATTGAGAGGGTCTGGCTGTACAGTTCAGGTTGGCCTTGAACTCACTATGCAGTTCAGGTTGGCCTCAAATTCATGGTGATCCTCTTCTTAGCCTTCCAAATGCTGGGATTACAGGTGTGCACCATCACATCTAGCTCTTTTCTTCTTCTTTTTATGTATTAGGGTCTCACCACGTCGCATGGACTTGTAGTGATCCTACTGTTTTCAGCCTCTCCAGCCCTGGGATTACAGGTGTGCACTACTACCATGCCCAGTCTCAGTGGCTGGCTCAGTATGTGGTTCCGGGGATTGAACCACGGTCCCTGTGCTTGCCTAAGCAGGTACTTAGTCTGCTGAGCTATCTTGCTAGCCCTTTGGTGTTTTTTTGTTTTTGTTTTTGTTTTGTTTTTTTTGTACCAAGGAATCAAACTCAGGACCCTGTGCTTGCCAGGAAGATGCTGTGCTGCTGAGCTACCCCTGGCCCCTGGAATCAAGGTTCTAAGTGGCTTCAGAACAGGATGATGAGAGGCCTGGAGAACCAGGCAATGAAGCCCTCAGCCACCCCACAAGCCCTTTATGTGCCCTGTTCATTACAGGTGTACATCTGTATTCTCAGCACTTGGTAGGCTGAGGCAGGATTACAACTTTGAGATCAACCCAGGCCACATAGTGAGACCAACAAAGGGCAGGGATATAGCTCAATGACACAGTACCTGCTTGGCAAGTTGCAAGATTGTAAGTTGTTTTTTTTTTTTTTTTGGTGGTTTTTTTTTTTTTTTTTTTTTTTTTTTTTTTTTTTTTTTTTTTTTTTTTGGTGGAACCAGAGTTTGAACTCAGACCCTTGCCAGGGAAGCGCTTATTCCACTGAGCCATCTCCCCAGCCACCCAAGATTGTATGTTTGAATCCTGGTACCAAGAAAAAACAACCTCCAAAAAGCCAGGTGTGGTGGGACATGGCTGTAATTCCAGCACTCAAGAGGTTGAGGCAAAAGGGCAGAGAGTTTGAGACCAGCCTGGGCTACAAAGTGAGTTGAAGCTCAGCATGAACTGCATGAGACCCTGTCTCAAAAAGATAAAGAACAGGGGCTGAGGAGATAGCTCAGTAGAATAAGCGCTTGCCTGGCAAGTGCAAGGCCCTGAGTTCAATTCCCGGCTCTGGGGGAAAAAAAAAAAAAAAAAAGATAAAAAACAGACAAAAACAAAACCCATTAACCACTAACACTTCCTCCAACTTGGAACTGCTAGTCTTTTTTTTTTTTTTGCGGAACTGGGGATTGAACTCAGGCCCTTGCACTTGCCAGGGAAGTGCTTATTCCACTGAGCCATCTCCCCGGCCTGGAACTGCTAGTCTTGTTCTGCCTCCAAGCTTTCATCCTGCAATGGTCATCTGTGTGTTTTCCTCCCTTACAAAATACTACCCTCTATCTTTGTAAAACTTACAGTTTGCCACCAGATACAAGTATCAACTTATGGAAACACCTAAATGAAATCTAGATGGCACGGTGATGCATGACTACTCCCAGCCACCCAGGAGGCCGAGGCACGAGAATCCCATTTGAGGCCAATGTGGGCAACTTGCAAACTTCTGATTTTTAAAATTAAATACAAAAGGGCTGGGATGTGACTTGCTGATGAAACACTCGAGTTTGATTCTTGGCACTGAACACAAAACTGTCACTGAATGGTACCACCCTTGTCGGGTTTTTCGGCAAGTACTCTTAGTACTGCGCCCCAGCCCCCACCCCAGTCTTCTGGAAAACACCATCACCTATGATACGTTTACTCAGTAATTCTGAAATTGAGTTTTGGAGAAGTCTT